GAAATTTTAACGGGAAATTTGTTGAATAAATGAAAGGAACCAATTTTCGATTAGTAATGTTTATAAATATATTCGTGTTCGCTTTCCAAACAGTTATGAATCCTCAAATGCCGTTTATTAAGAATAAAAGCAATAATGTATGTTGTATAAACATTGCCTGTGCCGCAGCAACACAAGAATGCCAAATTTATCCAATGTTTTATACAACAGCCCTTCAAGAGTTTTTTGGCTTGTTTGCCTTGCCTTCCACACAATACAACATATAATTATGCATAAAATAGACATACCGGCTTAAATTTAAGTTGCCAAAAGGTATCGAATGAAGTTGCAAAAGGTGGACTATATACTTTAGTCGCCAGGTTGTTATAGTTTAACAAAGTAAACTCAAAGCCACTTCTCGCCTTGAATGACATTGAAAATTTCTGTTTATATTTATACTTTTTCACCTAACTTTCGTTCTTCACGCTAAACGATATATTAGCAATAAAGAATAAATGATATGTAATGTACAATTATTTACAGTAGTAAAAACACTATAGGGCTCGCAAATAAGTCTATTTGTGTATTGGATAATACAGTAAAATAATTTTTAAAAATAGCCTTTGATGTTATTTGAGTTTATGGACTTTTCTTTGACGTCGTCTTTACTACAGTTTCGCTTTGTTGGTACACAAATGTATAATAAAAATTTATATGTTGACTTTTAGAGTAAAGTTGATTCGTAATAGGATTTTCCAACATACGTAACTTGGAAACTTTGATGTGGCTGGGTGTTTTTGACCAGAATTAAGATTGGTTAATTAAGGATTATCGATCTGTTTATAAAGCCACACAATTTAGCCACTCCAAACATATTCGGTTTTTTTATCGGGATAATTTTTTGGCGGCTGTTTCCTGTATATTAAAAATTTTTTTTAATTTTTTAAAGTTTAGTGAAAATACCTTGACAACCTCCAAGCCAAATTTAATAAATTTTTTTATTTTATTTAACCTGTAAAATTTAAATAAAGAATTTTATTAAATTTGACTTGGTGATTATCGAGATACTGTATTTTTATTCAAACTTGAAAAATTTAATATACTGTATAGTATATAGTAGCTTTTATAGTATTTTAATATACTAAGTTTTAATCTTTGAGCAAAAATATTTTGAAAACCATTAAGTCAAATTTGATAAACTTTTTTATGAATTTATAAAATTTAAATAAAAAAAAATTTATTAAATTTGATTTATATATATAGTATATAGTTAAAATATTTTTGTTTAAAGTTTAAAAAAAATTTTTAATATATATACAGTAGTTAAATCTTTATAAATATAATACAAAATATACAAACTAGCATTTATTGTACTGTATATAGAGAGATTTGTATTTAAAAATTTTTTTTATTAAAATTAAATATTTTATATATATATATATTACAGCTTTATTTAATAACTATATAGGCTAATATTTAGCTTGCTCAGATAGCGCTTAAGTATAACTATTATACTAATATTTGTTATTTGAAGGTTTGTATATATTTTTAGACAAGTACTTACTTTCAAATATAACTTAATAAAAATTATAGAATATACAGTATATACTGTACTATAAATTTGAAAAGTTTAAGTTTAGCTATAATGGTTTCTTATATTTATAATTTTTTTAAAAAAAATTAATTGTTTAACTGTATTGTTGAATTTTAATATAGTTATTTTTATTTTGAGAATAGATTAAATTAATAAATTTTAGAACAAAGTAATAAATTCAATAATAAGTTGTATGAGCATATATATATATTTGGTCTTACTAGGTTAGAAGTTTTTATTAGCTTGAAATTTTTTTTATTTTTATTTTTATTTTTTGACAGTCTTGTTAGAACTCAAATACAAAATTTTATATATTAAAACATAAAACTATTTCTAGTAAACTCTTTTATAATTGCAAGCCTAGCATCACCCGGCTATGTATACTATACTCAGATGTAACTTGTTGTACTGACTTATATACAAGTTAGAAAACTTTGTTAGCTCTGTCAAGAACTGAACTAGAATAGACCACTCCTACTCTAAACTACTTCATCTACTCCATTTTCAACTAACTGTACAACTTTATTTTTTTTTACTTTGAATAATGCTTTTTTTTCTTAACCTACTATATTAGCTTTTTTTCTTTTTCTTCTTAACCGGTCTTGATACTTGTTTGTCTATCTTAATTTTTTTCTTTACTTTGACTTTGTCTTGTCTATATATATATATATTTTTTTCTACTTAATTACTCTAATACATCTTCTCCAAATTTCTTTATAAAAACTTTTTTTTTTTTTTTCAGTATTAAGGTGACCTTCTTGGCCTGGGAACTTTTTATTAGTAATTATTAGTTATTACAGTTACAATGAAGATACAACTAGCCACACGTGCACC